GGGGGGGGGGGGAGGCAAACGATTTCCAGCATCTAATATTCATAGACAAACGTTTGTATTTAAATTTAATCTTGTGTCTCAGCATCTTAGCATGTAAAAAATATATAGGTTCTGCAAACCTGCTAAATAATGATAGTCCAAATTTTGTGAATTTTCATGATCAATCAGAGTGAAGCACTCCCAGGGTGAAGCTCTCCCTTAAATATATTAAATGATTTAATTAAAATCGCCAAACACAATAAAATAGCCCTCCCTTTGCCATGCAAATTATCAAAATGACATTCTACCTACTATACGTCCATAGTTTTTTGGGTGAAGTTTCTTCGAAACGTGATGATGGGGAAAATTCAAATGAATCAGTCAGTCAGTTATTCATTCAGTCAGTCAGTCATATAGTAAACTTTCCGGGGGTGTGTGTGTACGATTTATGTTTGTAGTGATTTATTGTAGTTTAGTCAGTGCTTTGAAGGTTACTTAGGCAATTTCAGTTGTTTTATTTAAATATTCTTTTATCCTTTTGCCAAGTTCACAAAAATTTCGAAGAATCGTTTTCATTATTGTAATTTTTTGTAAATTTTATAACATTCGCTTCTCATGTTGGATAAAGGAATTTTACCCTGGAACACCTGATTCTTTCTTTACCAGCGCAAATGCACATGCGCTAAATCAAGCCATCTGTGATCACAATGGCGTGACGTCTGACGATATGCTAGGAAGGAGCGACAGTGTTGTTTTCAAATGTATATATAAACATTTCAGATGTGAATATTGAGTAAATCTTTCAGAATCTACGCAATATATAAATTAATGTTATGTATTATGGGCATTCAATTAAGTGCCGATATTATTTAGACGGTATATTCATTATACATACCGAGCTAGGAAGGAGCTAGACAGTGCTTTTTTTTCAAGTGTATAAACATTTCAGTCTTCAAACGTAAATATGGAGTCGAAAATCTTTGAGATTCTAGGCTTTCGATTGAGTGCTGATATTATTTTCACGGTATACTCATTATGCTGAGGTAGGTAGGTAGGAGCGAGACAGTGTTGTTTTCAAATATATAAACATTTCAGACATGCATATAAACATTTCAGACATGAATATTGTCATCGAGAAAATCTTTGAGATTCTACACAATAATATAAATTAATGTTATGCATCTATACCAGCATGCAAGTTAAGTGCCCATCGATATTATTTAGACTGTGTATTCATTATCCATTGACTGTATAAGGTGCTACACCACATAATAGATGGCCTACACAGCCTATACTCAGTACAAAGAGCAAAAAAATTGCATCAGATCAATAAAGCGTAAACAACTATTATTAGAAGAGGATGTTTGTATCATTGACATGCGAGACTAAAGAAATCAGGTGACTCAGAGCTCTTTATTTAAACAAGAAAGACGAGGAGATAGCCAAAGTGTTATCACCAATCGCTTGGCTCGCCAACAAGCTTTATGCAATAGAAGAAAAATGCAAGGGGTAGCCAACAAGAATGTGTCATCACGGACCTTGAGAATTAATCTGTACACAGAGCCGTATCAAAGCTTGTCAAAACTGCTATAAACACTGCTATAACTGGGAAACTATTGAAATCTAAAGTGACAATATTGACTACATGTGAAAAGCTGAAAATGACACAACGTGACACTGGGAATAAGTCAAAGGTCAATGAGATTTGTTATTGTGAAACATGTCACAATTACCTTAAAATGCAGAAGCGGATGGAGCGGATCCACGGAACAGATATGCGGTAAAATACGGAACAGATGGGGACAGGGTTCGAATTAAATATTTAAAAGTGAATAGCGAATTTCTACCCATTGACTCAAGCAATAAAAAGTGAATAGCGAATTTCTGCTAAGTGATTACTGTGTTGCATATACAGTAAAAAAGGAGTAAGCATTCGATCTTCAACCAGAAAGGCTGTTACAATAAGAAAGATTAAATTGAGTAGTCT